CTTTTCATACTGGAGATTGATTGAACCCGGGGGCATGGCACCACTGAGCAACATCCCCACCCCTTTTTAGTTTTTATTTTGAGGCAGTATCTCATTAAGTTTCTTAGAGCCTTACTAATTTGCTGAGGCTGGTCTCAAATTTGCAGTCCCCCTGTCTCAACCTCCCAAATCACTGGGATTACAGGTGTGCACCAAAACATCTAGTTAGAATAATGCACTTTTGAATGATGAATGGATAATAGAACAAACTGGGAAAATCCAAAAATTCTTAGACTCAAATGAGAATAGTGACACAACATACTAGAACCTCTTGGTCATTCTAAAGGCAGTTCTTTTTTAAAAAAATGTTTATTTTTTAGATATAGGTGGACACAATATTTTTATTTTTATTTTATTTTTATGTGGTGCTGACAATCGAACCTAGTGCCTCGTACATGCTAAGCAAGAGCTCTACCTCTGAAGTTTTAAAAGGAAATTTATAGCTATGAACGCCTACATAAGAAAAATCAGAAACATCCCAAATAAACAGCCTAATGATACATCTCAAGGTCCTCAAAAAAGAGAATGAAACAACTTCACAACCAGTAAAAAAAAAAAAAAAAAAAGGAAATAATTAAAATCATAGCCAAAATCTATGAAATTGAGTAAAAAATTACAAAGGATCAATGAAACAAAGAATTGGTTCTTTGAAAATATAAACAAGATTGATAAAAACCTTAGCTAAAAGAGCAGAAGGAAAAAGAGAGGTGACCCAAACTATTAAAATGAAAGACGTAAAAAAAGAAATCACCACAGACATCACAGAAATCCAGTGGGTCATTAGGGACTAAATTGAAAAAACTCCAAGAAATCAGAAAATCTAGAAGAAATGGATACATTTTAGTGCACACTCAATTTGCCAAGATTTAATTAAGAGGACATAAAAATGGAATAACTAGTAATGAGAAGCAGTAATAAAAAGTCTTCCAACAAAGAAAAGCCCCGGACCAGATAGATTCTCAGCTGAAGTCTACCAGACCATTAAAGAACTAATGTCAACACTCCTCAAATTATTGTGTGGAATAGAAAGGAATGGAACACACCTGAATTCAGTGTACGAAGCCACATTGACACTCATACCCAAACCAGACAAGAACACATCAAGGTAAGAATACTACAGACCAAAACTTAGACTCTGATGACCTTGAACGCAAAAATACTTAATAAAATATTAGCAAAAAATATTCAACAACATTTAAGAAGGTTTTGCATTCTGACCAACTTGGTTGTATCCCAGAGACACAAGAATGTTTTAACATATGCAAGTCAGTCAATGCAATTCATCAACTAAATAGAATTAAGAACAAAAAACTCAGTCACCTCAAATGCAGAGAAAACCTTTGACCAAATCCATCAACCATTCATGATAAAAACACTGAAGAAACTGGGATAGAGGTGACCTACCTCAACATCATAAGACAAAACCCAAAGTGGGAGAAAACTGAAAGTATTTCCTTTAAAATCCAGGGCAAGATAAGCATGTCTCCTCTTACCACCCCTATTTAATATAGTGCTAGAAATCAAGTCAGAACAATTAGGCAAAAGAAGGAAATAAAAGGAATAAAAATTGGAAAGGAAGAAGTCAAATTATCACTGTGTGCAAATAATATGATCCTTTAATGGGAAGATCCAAAAAATTCCCCAGAAGATGACTGGAGCTAAAAAACAAATCAGCAATGTAGCCAGTTACAAAAGCAACAATACAAATATCAATAAGCTCTCCTATTTGCCAACTATGAATCTGCTGAGAAAGAAATAAGGAAAACAATCCCATTCACAGTAGCCTTAGGGAAAAAATAAAACTAGGAATAAATCTAATCAAGGAGGTGAGAGAACTCTACAATGAAAACTATAGAATACTGAAGAAATTTAAGAAGACCCAAGAAGATGGAAAGACCTCCCACGTCCATTAATAGGCAAAATTAATGTTTTTAAATGTCTTCATTAAATGTTTTTAATGTTTTTATTACCAAAAGCAGTTTACAAATTCAATGCAGTCCTCACCAAAGTATCAACGACATTCTTTACAGAACTAGAAAAAAGAGTCCTGAACCTCATTTGAAAAAAATAAAAGACCCAGAATAGCCAAAGTAATTCTTGTTTGTTTGGTGCTGGGGATTGAACCCAGGGCCTTGGGCACCGGAGGCAAGCACTCTACCAACTAAGCTATCTCCCTAGCCCAAGCCAAGCTAATTCTAAGCCAAAAAAGCAATCTGGAGACATCACAATACCTTCCTTCAAATCATACTACAGTGTTACAATAACAAAAACTACATGGCACTGGCATAAAAACAGACACCTGGATCAATGGCCCAGAACTGATAATAACACAGAGACGAACGTAACACAGATAGGGTCATCTGATCTTGACAAAGGTGCCAAAAGCATACACTGGAGAAAAGACAGCCCTTTTAACAAATGGTGCTGGGAAAACCCGTGATCCGTGTGCAGAAGAATGAAACTAGAGCCTTATCTCTCCCCCTGCAAAAAGATCAACTCAAAATGCATCAAATGCCCAGGAATTAGACCAGAACCCGTGCAACTCCAAGAAGAAAACACAGATCAACACTCCAAAATGTAGGCACAGGCAATGATTCTCATAGGACCCCTGAAGCTCAGGAGAGAATGCTAAGAGTTAGTAAATGGAAAGGAATCAAATGAAAACCTTCTGCACAGCAAGTAAACAAACAAAAAACGGTTAAGAATGTGAAGAGAGATGCTACAGAATGGGAGAAAATCTTTGTTAGCTACTCTTTTGACAGAGGATTAATAGCTAGAATATATACAGAGCTCAAAAAACTTTACCCCCAAAAGTCAAGTAACTCAATTAATAAATGGGCAAATGAACTAAACAGACACTTCTCAAAAGAAGAAACACAAATGGTCAACAAATACATAAGAAAGTGTTCAACATCAACAGCAATTACGGAAATGCAAATCAAAACCACCCTGAGATTTCATTTCACTCCAGTCAGAATGGCAGTCATCAGAATACAAACAATAATAATTGCTCAAAAGGATGTGAAGAAAAAGGAAGACTCTAACACTGCTGGAGACTGTAAATTATCACAAACACTATGGAATTAGGATGGAGGCTCCTCAAAACACTAGGTATGGAACCACCACATGGCCCAGCTAGGCCACTTCTGGGTATTTACCCTGAAGCATTAAACTCATCTCACCACAGTGATATCATGATATCCATGTTTATGGCAGCACGATTCACAATAGCTGAATTACGGAACCAGCCTAGGTGTCCATCAATGCATGAATGGGTAAGGAAACTGTGGTCTATATGCACGATGGAATTTTATTCAGCCATAAAGAAAAATGAAATTATGTTATTTACAGGAAAATGGATGGAACTAGAGAGCATTATGTTAAGTAAGCCAAACTCAGAAGGTCAATGGCTGTACGTTTTCTCTCATATGTGAAAGCTAGAGAGGAAAAAAAGGAAAGAAGGAGTTGGAGGGGAGGGGTGCAGGGGACCTCATGAAAAAACAAAAGACCCAGCAACTTAATGAGATCGTTTCTCAAATTAAAAAAAAAATGTTAAAGGCTAGCACAGAGTGGCTCAGAGGTAGAAAATCAAAAGGAAATCAGTTGAGGAAAGGGACCAAGGAGTAGGTGGGAGGGAGTGGGGGAGTGCTGGGAAAGGATATTGACCGAATTACATTTGTTACATTGTGTACATAGTCTCATATATAAGAGCATATTATCATGTGTAAGAACTATAATGCACCAATTGAAAAAATGTGGAGAAGAAAGTTAACTCAGATTCTTTGCAACCTGGGGATGATGAAAATGTTTGTAATGTAAGACTTAAAATTGTATAAGGAAACACTGATAAATTGATTACATAAAAATAAAAAAAATAATAATGTAAGACCAAAAAAAGCAGACAAATTAAAATACAAATGTAAAACTACAAAAAAATCCTCCTAAATTATATCAAAGAGATTTAATTTTACTAATACACAAAGAATATCTAAAAGCAGAGAAAGAAAACATCAACAACTTGATTTTTAAAAATGGACAAGAAATGTGTAGGGTGGCATACAACTGTAATTCCAGCTACTGGAGAGGCTGAGGCAGGAGTATCACAAGTTAGAGGCCAGCCTCAGCAACTTAATGAGATCCTTTCTCAAAATTAAACAAAATAAAAAATTTAAAGGCTAGGGCAGAGTGGCTCAGAGGTAGGGTACTTGCCTAGATCGTATGAGGCTGTGGGTTCACTCCGTAGTATAAAAGAAAGAAAAAAGCAAACAAGAAAGGAAGGAAGGAGAGAGGAAATAAAAATAAAAATTGAGCAAGAGATATAAGTAAATTTTAAAAGATTCCAAATGCATAGAAAATGCATAAATAGAGCAAAGCGACTCTCCTCGGTCCTGCTATTTCTTCAGAACAGCTAATTCTCCGCCCACAGCAGCCCTCCCCCACCCGCAGGTCACACTGCTAGGACACAGCTTCCATCTGTTGAGTCCTGGGAAAGAGTCTGAATCCCAGCTTCCCTCTGACCTGAGTGACCTGCGGAACCCACAGAGGGTCACCAAACTTGCTGGGATCCTGGTTCTTTTTCAGTAAAAGGAAGGATTTCAACAGACAGTGTCTAAATGGATTTCCAGCCCCCAAATTCTACCTTGAGCGCACGGAACCTCCTAGGGAGAAAACCAGGCAGCGCTGTCTGGAGCGAAACCCCACTGCCGGGAGCCTGCCCTGCCCAGCAAAAGTTCGCCCTGTGAATATCTGGATGAAGGACACCACGCTAATAAACCTCCTTGCGCTCCCCCGACCCGCGGCCAGCCACTACCACCCGGAAGCACACTCCTAGGGTGCTGCTGGCGCTCAGTAGGGAGGAACCGTACCTCGCCCCTCTGCAAACCAGAGCCCACCCCGTGCAGACGCCCCTGACTGCCCCTCACAGCTCCTTGGCTCCGGGTCCTCTTCACAGGCAGCCTCACCGTTAGAGTATGTTGATAAGTTCTCAAGTTTTCTCCAAGAAAGTTGCTTGAGTGGATGCCTCTGCTTCACCTGTGACAGAAATGTTTGCTCCCCCAAACCTCTGAGTCAGGAAACCCAATTGGGTGGAGTCAGTGATAACACTCTTGCCTTTAAGGAAACAGAAATACTCTCTAAAATTGAGTGGGAGCTTCTGTTTTGCCAAGTTGAAATATTTTGTCTGTGTGCCTGTTATAACACCAAAATTTTCAAAGTTATATATTTTGTTTGAGGTCACATTGATTTTGCCCAACTGTAGACAAATGTAAATGTCCTCAGCAGGTAGGCTAGGCTAGGCTATGACACTCAGAGGCTGTGTGCATTTTCAACTTATGGTGTTTTCAACATGAGATGAGTTTGTCAGACATACCCGTACTGTAAGTTGAGGAGCATCTGTGTGTGTGTGTGTGTGTGTGTGTGTGTAAACCCACATATCCATATATACACATATATATATACATTAAAAACTCAGAGCTTTTTCTGATGCTTGTTAGGTGCAGGACAGGCTGAGTAAGCTGTCTGCAGGGCATGCCAAACAAAGTTAGCTGCAGGATGACCTGGGCACTCAAACCCTCTGTCTGGTTCTTTATCGACTATTTGCTTCAAGCCCAAACACCCAAGCTCCGGCTCAAGGCTGAACACTTAACCCCCCTTGTGCCAACAGGCAGCTTGCAGACCCAGAGACCTCATTAGATTTGGGCTATAAAAACTCCCTCCTGCCAGGCCCTTCTCTCTCTTGCTTTCTCTGTCTCTCTTGCGCACCCTTCCCCCCCCCCCACCCCTTCTCTCTTTTCTCCTCTGTTGCACTGCTGCAATAAAGCTCTCTTGGTCACTCTGAGTGTTGTGGTCACTTTTCTTTCAATGCTATGATGTAAGACAAATTCAAGTTTAACTTATTAAGACATTGCAAAAATAATACCAGGAGATGAAAAGAATAGCATCCTGACTCTTACACAAATGCATTCAACTGTCAGGAAAAACTACTTAGGATATATTAAAAAATAGAAAATGTAAAAAAAAAAAACAAGTAAAGTAGTTATTGAGGTCAGCCTCAGGGTCACAGCTTCCTCTTGTGAAGTTCACATATTGTACACTTACATCACGGGTGCCCAAATATGTAAATAGAACCAAATAGCCTTCTAAAGAGGCAAAGGCGGAAAGCTTGTAAAATCTTTACTTCATGTCACCACACACTGCAGACAGCTTTGCCCTCCATCTCTGGAAAGCACTGCATCTTACTAAAACAAATCTGAAAATTCTCGGTTACTGTTGGCTCCTGGTCCAGCAGCTCTTCCCCTGTGTGTCTAAAAACACTTCCCCCATAAGTCTGAAAAAAGGCACAAGCCACCAGCTTCTCCCAGGAAACACTCCTCCCTTCAGTCAAGCGTCAGTGTGGGGACAGACACTGCCCCTGCCCCTGCCTGTCTTCGCAGGACTGGCAGATCACGGGTGATGAAAGCAGTGGGGGATCAGCGGGGACATCCAACCTGCCACCTAACCCAGCGGCCTTAGTTCATTCCATGTTCAGCACAGCTTCCTTCCGGTTTCCTGCTTTGCTTTGGGGTATTGCACAGGTTTCCTGGATTGTCCCTCTCCCTTCTCACCCAAATAGGGTCCGCATGAATAGGAAGATCTGGTGCCTGCACCCCTGGGACTATGACAAGGAATCTAGAGAGTTTGATGAAGTAGTCTTTGGCTTCCCAGGTGCTCAGGAAAACTGTCTTCTGCAGCTGGGGTGGGGCAGACTGTAAGGAAAGAAAACGGTGCTGGGTGTGAAAGCACTCTTGAAGCTGGATCCCCCAAAGAAGCACTGACCCAACTCTCAACAGAGTTAAATGCCATGCCCAAAAGAGACCTTTACTGTCCTCCCCTCTGGTTCTTGTTGCTGTAGTAAGACAGCCACAGACATTCAGTCTCATTAAGAAACAGGTCTCTGCTTTCTGTTAATGCTTGCCTGAAGACTCCGCTATAAGCTTCCAGACAGGACTGTGTCGTCAATAGAGAAGTACTCTCTTGGAGCTTCATGCAGAGAATTGTACTAGGTCCTGTACTGGTCTTGGTCCTCTAGAGGAACAGGATTTTATACATATGACTGAAAGGGTGGTTTATTAGGTTGGCTTACAGGATCAGAAGGCAGTTCCACATGGCCAACTGCAGGCTGAGCTGCCAAGAAACCCGTGACAGCTCAGTCCGAGAAGCTGGAGCCTCAGAGAAAGAGGGACAATGACGCAGCCCCAGTCTGACTGAAGGCCTGCAGACCCCCTGGAGAATCGCTGATCGGAGTGGGCTTTGGAGGGAAGGGCCTGGAACCTGATGTGATCGCAGCGGCAATCCAAGCACCCTTTCAAGAAGAATCAAGCTTGTGCCTGCGTCAGCTTTCTCCTTCCTCCACCTTTTGTCCCATCCAGGCCCCTAGCCTACTGGACGGTGCCACCCACATTCAGGAAGGGTCTCCTCCCTCAGTTGGCTGTCCCATATGTCAATCATTTCTGAAAACACCCTGCATCTACAGTTCCAGAAGTGTCTCAGTCTTGGGCATCCATTAATCCAATGAAGTCCACAATCCAGATGAAGCCTCACAGTTATCCTCAGCTATTGCTCCTTCACAGATATCCTGAACTATGGATTCTCCAGGGGGTCTGCAGGCCATCATTGGTCCCTCTTTCTCTGAGACTCCAGCTTCTTGGACTGAGCTGCTGCTGATTCCTTGGCATCTCCAGCCTGCAGTTGGCCATGTGGAACTGCTAGGGACAGGTTTCCAAGACCACAACACTTACCAACTTTCACGCTGTGCCAGTGAACTCAGCCTGGATTTCCAGGATTCTTTCCATTTGAAAGCAGATGTTCTTGAAATCAGATTACTGACCCAAGATCTTGTAGAATAAGAATTAATTACAAAGTATTGAATGAAACATTTAAGAAATATTCTTGTGGTTAGTTGTTTGGAATACTATTGGTATTATTTCTAGCAATCTATATCTCACAATTAAGTAGACTATGTACTTAGAAACATACTTTGTATACAACCAGAGATATGAAAAATTGTGCTGTATATGTGTAAGAAGTTGTAATGCATTCTGCTATCATTTATTTTTGAAAAAAATCAATAAAAAAGAAACTACTTATTATTGTGTGTTTTCCACTAGCTCTCAAAATTCAAAAACAAATACTTGTGCTGAGTCTTCTTATTTTTAAAGGTTATATAATCATATGTTCAGTATCAGATGGGCACAATGGTGCACACCTGTAATCCCAGTTACTCAAGAGGCTGAGGCAGAAACATCACAAATTCAAGGCCAGCTTCAGGGACTTTGTGAGACCCTGTCTCAAGATAAAAAGACCTGTGGATGTAGCTCAGTGGTAAAACATCTCTGGGTTCAACCCCCAGTACCAAAAAAAATCTATACTGTTTTAAGTGAAGATATAACCACACAAAGCAATTTTGCATCAACACTGTATCTAGAGTGTGATATTTGATGGACACTATGCCTATAATCTGAGTGGTTCAGGATGCTGAGGCAGGATAATTGCACGTTCAAAATCTGTCTCAGCAACATAGCAAAGCCCTAAGCAACTCAGTGAGACCCTCTCTCAAAATAAAATATAAAATATAAAAGTTATGGGGATATAGCTCAGGGGCTAAGTGCCTTTGGGTTCAATCCCTGGTACCAAAAAAAAAAAAAAAATCACTCCTAAGGAACAATGGTGATGTTACTGGTGGAGCTAATGTCTCCAAGCCCCCGTCACAAGAAAATCAATGAGGCACTTGGCTTCCAGGGTCCCAGTCTAACAGGCATAAAGTCCACTCCATGGCAGACCTCAAGAAAAGGGAAATTCATGCAGATTTATCAAAACTGCATGCCAAATTTACTGGGGGAAATTAGTTTCTTTCCTATATTGTGATAGAAGAACAAATAATAGAGTTTTTAAAAGCCTAATTCTAGATTTTGGAAATTTTGGAAAATCTCCAAATAGAAGTTAATTCTTTGTGCTTGGTAGTTACTTAATATTCTTTGTTGGGCCATAGCACCCACACATCTGGCCAGATGCACCTTGAAATATCAATGATGAGAGAGGCAACTCTGGCTTTCTCAGGAGGTCATTTTAGACCCTGCCAGAGGCTGTGCCTTAGGGACCTTGCCTTTCCCAGGTTTTCTACTCTGTAGTTGCCACCATCCCTCTTGTTTGACTTTGACTTCCTCCTATAAATAAAGCATTCTCGGCTTTCTTACAACTGAAGGATGCTATAGATCAAAACTTAGCAAGGGATAAAGGAACCATTGCAGCATACATCTCAGCATAACACGGCATGAAAACTTTTATTTCCTATAAACCTTCATATCTTCAAGAAATGAACCACAAATGTTTATTGTAAATTCATTTGTGCATAGAAAAACATGTATCTTAGCTCGGCCACAATAATTTCCTGCCTCACCTCCTCCCCATTCTGTCTCCTCTGTCACTCACGTTTGTGGTCAGACCACAGGAAGAAAGGCCAGGTAATAGGGCCCATGTCCCCTTCCTTGTACTGCTAACGCATTCAGCAGAATGGGAGGAGGAGGGTTGGGCCAAGAAGAAATACCACCATGCAGATCACACCAAACCTCATTCTGGACCCTCCACAGGTCCACCTGAGGACAGTGCATGGGTAAAGCAGAAGACCTTTCCTGAGTCCAAACCACACAGTGGCCTCATTCAGAGCAAGCACAACAGTTGAACTTCTGACTCTGACTCAAGTGCTTATAGGTATGGATGCCTTTCTAGGTCCTACCAATTCTGTTCTCAAAACCACGTAGCTAGTAACCAGCTGAGCAGACTCATAATTTTTTACTACAGTTTATTGTGAAAAAAAATGACTTGAGGCCAGATGCAGTGGCACTGGCCTGCAATACCAGCAATTTGGGAGGCAGAGGCAGGAGGATCACAAGTTCAAAGCCAGCCTCAGCAAGTTAGCAAGGCCCTAAGCAATTTAGCAAGACTCTGTCTCAAAAATAAAAAGGGCTGGGGATGTGGTCCAGTGCTAAAGTGCCCCTGGCTTAAATTCCTGGTACCAAAATAAATAAATAACTTGAAAATAATATTTAAATGATGCATTTCTAAATGACTGTACTTGGAAATACAGACAGCAGCATTTCTCTTATCCTCTGTCGGTGTAACATATTTGTTCTAGTAAAAGACCAAGGACTTCTAGATCAAGATAGCAGTGGGGCAGAGAGTGGCAGATGATAACTCCATCCCCATTAGGCAATTCTTCATTCTAACACAAAAAAATCACAAGAAGAAAGGCTAAATAAATCTCCATAAAATCCATACATTCAGCAGGAAGAAAGAAGGAAGCTAGCTATTTGGCCAAAGTTTGATCTAAAGTAACCGACAGGGTTTCCGTTCCCACACTGTAGTGGGAGCAACCCTGCAGAGGTGTTACCAGGCGGGACCATAACTGGTGATGATTTGTTTTTAATTTTAAGTCTCTAAAAATTGTCTTAGTGCATTTGGCAAAGAAAACCTATGACATCTTAGTAAGAACAATGAGATTCTGTGACATTGGAGCCATTTCTCCCTCCTCAACCTACTCCCAGCTCCACTTTACGGAAGATCCACTCTGGGCAAGTGTGTCCAATACATTGGGACTCCCTCTCCCCTCAGCTACCAATCAGGGGTGCAAGCCTCCTGCTGGGTCAGTATAGCAGCATTTCTCTTCCTCTATGTGTGGTAGAGATTAACCTCCCGTGGACGCATCCAGGGCACTGCTCTTCCGGTCAGAGCAGGCCAAGCACACTGAGTCCCAACTACCCAGATCTGGGCTCCCAGCCCCCAGAGGGTCAAGGTCTACACAAGCCAAGAGGAGCAGAGGCTGACATTGCCTGTCCGGGGCTTGGAGCTGGGGCTCAGAAATTTCACAGGGAGAAAGGCAGCCCATAATAACAGAGAAACCCAAACAACTCCTCAGAGGACACAGAATATGAAAAATTTCAAGCCAACGTTGTTTTTTTTTTTTTAAAATGAAGATTTTGATAATAACTAATTTAAAGAAATCCAATAACCCTGTGAGTGCCAAAAGAGAAAGTATAGGCCAGCAATTTTACCAGAGAGAACTAGAAGAAAGACAAGTAAGAAGAGTCCTCCTAGGGTCAGAGAACACCTGAAAGACCAGCTTCAAAAGCTGCCCCTGCAAAGGGGAAGAAATTGAGTGAGATCAGACTGCAGCACAATAATGCCCCAGGACGCTGTCAAGAACATGAGGGCCATCAACTGGCAGCCAGAGGGCCTCGCAGATGGACGCAAGGGCAACAGAGGCAGGCAGGTAACCGAAAGAGCAGGGAAAGAGGTGGCACAAGAGAGCACTGCTACAGCTGCCGTCCTCCCAGAGTGACCATGGGCATGTACCAGGCTGCACCTGCGAGGGGCAGGATCAGAGGCTTCACGCCACAGGGAAGGGCTTCATGAAAAGAGTGTAGCCGGGTTTTTAGGTAAACAAATAACAACAATAAAACAACCCGAGAAAAGCAGAAGGAGAATTCATATCCTTTAATAGGGCTACACTATATCACCTAAAATGTCCAGTTTTCATTAAAAACTATAACATATGCAAAGAAACAGGAAAGTGTGGCTCGTACACTGGGAAAGGAAGTCAGCAACACAGGCTGCCTGGGAGAAGGTCCAGATGTTGGACAGGATTTCAAAGCAGCTCTCATAAGTTATGTTCCAAAAGCTGAAGAGAACCATACTTAAAGAAATAAAGAAAGCTACAATAGTGACGTCTCATCTAATAGAGAACATTAATAAAGTGGGAAATTATTTTTCTGGAATCCAAAAATACATTAATTGAAATAAAAATGTACTAGAGACCTTCAGTGGTGGATTTGAACTGACAAAAGAAAAAGTCACAATTTGAAGAAATAACTGGTACAAACATATATGAGCCCCCAAAATACATAAAGCAAAAATTAACAGAAGTCAAGGGGAAATACACAATTCAATAATTACAGTTGTAGAGTTCAATACCCTACTTTCCTAATGCCTAGAGTGACTAGAAGGAGGTCGTCAGGAAATCGAAGACGTGACCAACATTGTAAGCAATGGGACCTAACAGACATCTTCAGAACACTACCCAGGAACCAAATACGGTCCTTCCAAGCAAACACACCAAACAGAGCATAAGTGAGGCCCCAAGATAAGCCTCAATCAATACATAAAGTTGAAATAATGCCATTTATGTTCAGAATGAAGTGAAATTAGAAACCAATAGGAGAAAAAGTGAAATTCACCAATAGGTGGATAGTAAACAGCTTACTTTGAAGAACCCATGAGTCAAAGAAGAAATCAAAATAAAATCAACACAAATGGAAGTGAAGAAATAATGCAGCCAAATTGATAAGGAGAAAGCAATACTTAGAGGAAAACTTATACCTGGAAGTGTTTTTATTAAATAAAGACGACAGATCTCAAACCAACAACTTAACATTCCACATTTAACAGAGTGATAAAATAAGAAAAAAGTAAGCCAGAAGCAATCAGAAAGAAGGATAGAGTAAAGTTTAGAGCAGAAATAATGAAGCAGAAAATAGAAAGCAGCAGAGAAAATAAACAAAAGTAAATGTTGCTTCTTTTAAAATATTGACAGATCTTTAGCTAGTTTGACAAAATATAAACATAGGCTTAAACTCAAATTTCTAATGTTAGGAATAAAGGACATTACTAGTGATCTTACAGAATAAAACAATTATAAGGAAATACTATGAACAACTTTATGCCCCCACAATTAGATAATTTAGACAAAATGGACAAATGACAAATTACTAAAACTGACTCAAGGACAAATAGAAAGTCTGAACAGACATACAGCACATAAAGAGATTGAATTAGTAGTTTAAACACTGCCTACAAGGGAAAACATAGATGGAGATGCCTTTTTAATGTATTTCACCAAATATTTAATAAGAATTAATACTATTTCCTCACAAATTCATCCAAAACAATAATATAGGAGGAATACATCCCAGGTCATTCTGATACAGCATTATCCTGATACCAAGTCACAAAAATATTACAAGAGGAGGACATTGCCTAGCAACATCTCTCATGACACACAATATCCTCATCACATACCAGCAAAGCAAAGCAAGCAATACATGGAAAGGAGTGTACAATGACAGTGTGGGCTTCCTCCCAGGAAAGCCAGGGTGGTTTAACATCCACACCAATGAACCAAGGCACCACATCAACACAGCAAAGGAGGGGAATCACGCAGGGTCATATTTTCCTGTGAACAGAGCTTTCACCACCTGGGAAAGGATCTCCGTGAATGCCTGACCCTGAGACCATATTTAATGGGGAAAGACCAAGTTTTCCCTTAAGATCAGGAACAAGACAAGGACTCTGCTCTGTTGCGTGGAGGTTCTTGTAGTTATACTATAGCTCTTTTATTAAATTTTCTTATAGCTGTATTGGACAGAATGCCTTTACTTTATTTGTTTATTTTTATGTGGTGCTTGAAAGGAAAGTGACCACAACACTCGGAGTGACCAAGAGGTCTTTATTGCAGCAGTGCAACAGAGGAGAAAAGAGAGAAAGAGAAGTGGGGCGGGGGGGCTGGGGAAGGCTTTTACAGCCCTTCTGCAGTGCTGCCTAAATCTAACACGGTCTCTGGGTTTGCAAGCTGCCTTGTTGGCACACAAGGGGTTAAGTGTTCAGCCTTGAGCGGTGGGTTGAGTGTTCAGCCTTGAGCAGGGGGGTGAAGCGCTTAGCCTTGAGAGGGGGGGGCTTGGGCGTTTGGGCTTGAAGCAAACAGGTGATAAAGAACCAGACAGAGGGTTTGAGAAGCCAGGTCATCCTGCAGCTAACTTTGTTTGGCATGACCTTCAGACAACTTATTCAGCCTGTCCTGCACCTAACAGTGCTGAGGATGAAACCCAGTGTCTCACGCATGCTAAACAAGCGCTCTTCCGCTGAGCTACAGCTCAGCCCAATAATACACTTCTTTTTTTTTAATGTTTATTTTTTATTTTTATTTTTGAAAATTTTTATTATTAGTTGTTCAAAACATTACATAGTTCTTGACATATCATATTTCATACATTTGATTCAAGTGGGTTATGAACTCCCATTTTTACCTCGTATACAGATTGCAGAATCACATCGGTTACACATCCACGTTTTTACATATTGCCATACTAGTGACTGTTGTATTCTGCTACCTTTCCTATCCTCTACTATCCCCCCTCCCCTCCCCTCCCATCTTCTATCTCTACCCCATCTACTGTAATTCATTTCTCTCCTTGTTTTTTTCCCATTCCCCTCACAACCTCTTATATGTAATTTTGTATAACAATGAGGGTCTCCTTCCATTTCCATGCAATTTCCCTTCTCTCTCCCTTTCCCTCCCACCTCTCATCCCTGTTTAATGTTAATCTTCTTCTCATGCTCTTCCTCCCTGTTCTAATCTTAGTTGTTCTCCTTATATCAAAGAAGACATTTGGCATTTGTTTTTTAGGGATTGGCTAGCTTTACTTAGCATAATCTGCTCTAATGCCATCCATTTCCCTGCAAATTCCATGATTTTGTCATTTTTTAGTGCAGAGTAATAATACTCCATTGTGTATAAATGCCACATTTTTTTTTATCCATTCTTCTATTGAAGGGCATCTAGGTTGGTTCCACAGTCTAGATATTGTGAATTGTGCTGCTATGAACATCGATGTAGCAGTATCCCTATAGTATGCTCTTTTAAGGTCTTTAGGGAATAGTCCAAGAAAGGGAATAGCTGGGTCAAATGGTGGTTCCATTCCCAGCTTTCCCAGGAATCTCCATACTGCTTTCCAAATTGGCCGCACCAATTTGCAGTCCCAACAATGTACAAGTGTACCCTTTTCCTCACATCCTCGCCAGCACTTGTTGTTTGTCTTCATAATGGCTGCCAATCTTACTGGAGTGAGATGGTATCTTAGGGTGGTTTTGATTTGCATTTCTCTGACTGCTAGAGATGGTGAGCATTTTTTCATGTACTTGTTGATTGATTGTATGTCCTCCTCTGAGAAGTGTCTGTTCAGGTCCTTGGCCCATTTGTTGATTGGGTTATTTGTCTTCTTATTGTTTAATTTTTTGAGTTCTTTGTATACTCTGGATATTAGGGCTCTATCTGAAGTGTGAGGGGTAAAAATTTGTTCCCAGGATGTAGGCTCCCTATTCACCTCTCTTATTGTTTCTCATGCTGAGAAAAAACTTTTTAGTTTAAGTAAGTCCCATTTGTTGATTCTTGTTATTAACTCTTGTGCTATGGGTGTCCTATTAAGGAATTTGGAGCCCGACCCCACAATATGTAGATCGGAGCCAACTTTTTCTTCTATCAGACGCAGAGTCTCTGTTTTGATATCAAGCTCCTTGATCCATTTTGAGTTAAATTTTGTGCATGGCGAGAGAAAGGGATTCAGTTTCATTTTGTTGCATATGTATTTCCAGTTTTCCCAGCACCATTTGTTGAAGATGCTATCCTTCCTCCATTGCATGCTTTTAGCCCCTTTATCAAATATAAGTTGGTTGTAATTTTGTGGATTGGTCTCTGTGTCCTCTATTCTGTACCATTGGTCCACCCACCTGTTTTGGTACCAGTAGCATGCTGTTTTTGTTACTATTGCTCTGTAGTATAGTTTGAAATCTGGTATCGCTATACCACCTGATTCACACTTCCTGCTTAGAATTGCTTTTGCTATTCTGGGTCTTTTATTATTCTATATTAATTTCATGATTGCTTTATATATTTCAACAAGAAATGCCATTGGGATTTTGATTGGCATTGCATTAAACCTATAGAGAACTTTTGGTAATATCGCCATTTTGATGATGTTAGTTCTGCCTATCCATGAACAGGGTATATTTTTCCATCTTCTAAGATCTTCTTCTATTTATCTCTTTAGGGTTCTGTAGTTTTCATTGTATAAATCTTTCACCTCTTTTGTTAGGTTGATTCCCAAGTGTTTTGGTTTTTTTGAGGATATTGTGAATGGGGTGGTTGTCCTCATTTCCATTTCAGAAGATTTGTCGCTGATATACAGGAATGCCTTTGATTTATGTGTGTTGATTTTATATTCTGCCACTTTGCTGAATTCATTTATTAGCTCTAATAGTTTCTTTGTAGAGCCTTTTGGGTATTCTAGGTATAGAATCATGTCTTCCGCAAATAGTGATAATTTAAGTTCTTCTTTTCCTATTTTTATGCCTTTAATTTCTTTCGTCTGTCTAATTGCTCTGGCCAGTGTTTCGAGAACTATATTGGATAGAAGTGGTGATAGAGGGCATCCCTGTCTT